CAGGGGACCAGGGGACCAGAAGCCTGGGTGTGCTGTGGTCACCTCCCCAAACTTGGGTGTTGCTAGGGGTTCTGCCCTCTTCCTGTACTTCCTGCCCCACGCACTGGCATCTCCCCCGGTCCCGGGAAGCGGAAGTGAGCTGATGGGCCTGGGCCCAGAGCTGTCTGCTCCCCAGGTCCCACGTCTGGCACAAGGCCAAGCATCCAGGTGGGGGGCCGAGCACTACCCAGTGAGCCCCCCAAAGCTGCAGCTGAGCCCTCTTCCGTCTTCCTCCTCTCTGACCCCCAGCCTCATCCAGACCTCACATAGGTGCCCCTCGTCTTCCCACCATGTCCCGTGTTCCCCGGGCCACACCCACCCCTTGCCCTGGAGACACAGCACCTGCCCCCGCCCTGCTCACCTGACTGTCCTCATCGGACAAAGGTGCAAAAGAGCCTCCAGCCCCCATCCTCACGGAGGATGACCCCCAGTTCACCAAGGCCCTCTGGGTGTCACCCTCGCACCTTGGTGCCTGGGTCCCCTTGGTGTCCCCACTTGCAGGTTTCTATGACACCACTACGTCACCCCCAAGTGCCCACCGTGCTCAGCTCAAGTGTGCTTCCACTCTGGGCTCACAGGACCCAGGGGTCCACAGGCAGAGATGCAGATGCAGGGGGAGGGTGGGACACAAGCATCGGACGTCACACACATAGACGCAGATGCCTGTTTAATGGTGGTTCTGCAGAGCACAGGACGGCCTGGGCTTTACGAGCTCCTAGAGGTCCAGGGGTGGCAAGGCCAACGGCAGCTGCCCCCAGGCCCACGTCCCGTGGGGGTGCAGAGGCCGGGGCAGCCAGTCCGTCACCTCCCTGAGGCCTGCACGGGCCACACCTCTGGAAGCAGTGCCACCGGGACACTGCTGTCCCCGCCCTCACCCGTGAGGACAGGTGAGGTCTCTGAACACAGCCCAGTGGTGCCAGCCCCTCCAGGTGCTGAAGGCAGACGGCCCTCAGCGGCACGGGGAGACATGCGAGCAGCGGGTGTTCAGTCAGGGCCGCGCGCCTGCGCCCAGTCCAGGACCTTCCGGGCGATGGCGGTGAGCGCGGGGAGGGCTGGGCTCCCAGAGAGCTCCTGGACGAAGTCCTGGCCCCCCTCCAGGCTCCTTGCCAGCTGGGGGTCCAGGGGCACAGAGCCTGCAGCGACAAGGAGGCAGGGCAGGGTGAGCAGGAACAGGGCCGGGGGTCTACACCACCTGTCGGTGAGATGCCGCCACCTGGCGCTCTGCTGGGCTTCCCCCCCAGACACAGTCCTCCCACTGGCCAACCCAACACCTCAGACTCATGGCCACTAGCCCCACGTCTGGCCACAGCAGATCCTTGAGTTCCTGCCCCCGTTATCTTAGGGTCCCTGGCAGGCCGGTTCAGCACATCGCCTGTAACACTCACCTAGGAAGGGGACCCCGGCGTGCCTGGCCAGCTCCTCCCCGCCTCCCGTGGAAAAGAGGTTGGTGCACTCCTGGTCACAGGGACGGGTCTGTGAGCGTAGCCCCTCAAAGTCCCCATGCCCACCCGTGGGCCGAGCAGCTCACCGTGCAGTGTGGACAGACAAACCCGCTCATGTTCTCCACGACCCCGATCACGCGCAGCCCCGTCTTCCGGCAGAAGGTCAGCTCCCGCCGCACGTCCCCCACCGACACTGCCTGGGGGCGGGAGAGCGGCTGGCAGGAGGAGCCCACAACTACCCTGCAGGGCGGGCTGCCCGTCGGAAGCGTGGGGCTCGCTCACCTGGGGCGTGGTGACCAGGATGGCCCCCAGGGGCTGGTAGGGGCGCAGGGCCTCCACAGCCGAAAGGTGCTCATCCGACGTCCCCGGGGGCGTGTCCACCACCAGGAAGTCCAGCTCCCCCCACGCCACGTCTGACACAAACTGCTTTATCAGTGCTGTGGAGACCGCCCAGAACCCCAGGGGCTCAGGAGGGGCTCGCCCAGAGGCGTTCCTGCTTCCTGCCGTGGCCGGGGCCCAGAGCACAGGCGTAGTCCCCGCTCCTGCCCCACCAGACGTGGGACCGCCCGAGCAGCCCAGCCCAGGCAGCAGGCCCTGCAGGGGGGACTGTGGTTGGACTGGCCCTCGGCTGCCTCCTGACACCCCACGGCCGACCGGCCGGGCGGGGGGGAGGCGGGGAGGCGGCAGGTTTGCTGCTGTGTGACGGTCCAGAGACCCCTGAGTGCCCTCCCCCAGGAGGGCCCCACCGCTGCAGAGCAGAGCCAGGGCGCTGCCCTGAGGAGCCCCTCGACGCCCTGTGATGGCTGGCGCGAGACTGAGCCCAGTTACCGTTTTTCTTGGGGCCCCTCCACACCACAGCCTCGTCGGGCTTCTCGAGCAGGAAGCCCACGGACATGATGGCCAGGCTCTGCCCCTGGTCCACGAAGACCGGCACCCAGCCGCTGTCGCACTGGTGCACCGCACAGCCCTGTGCGCGGAGCATCCGTGGCACGCTGGGCCCGCAGAGGTCCACGTCCAGGATACCCACCTGCAGGGGGCAGCCCCCGCCAGTGAGGCTCAAGCTGGAGGTGGGCGGGGCAGGCGCGTGGGGCGGGGCAGGCGCGAGGGGCGGGGCAGGCGCGAGGGGTGGGGCAGGCCCCGGGGGCCGGTGCTCACCTTCTTGCCCTCGCGGTGCAGGGCCAGGGCCAGCTCGGTGGTGACTGTGCTCTTGCCAACGCCCCCTTTCCCCGAGAGTACAAGGACGATGTGCCGGACGCCAGCCAGGTTCCCAGGCTCTTGTCCGAACGAGAGATGAGGTCAGGGCTCCAACACATCCACCACCCATAACCGTACCCCAGGGCTCACGGCGCACTCCCACCTCTGAGGCTCTGGCCCCCGTGAACGCCTGGCTGGGGAGGGGCTGACGCCTCTCTGTGGAGCACGTACGAGAACCCGCGTGTGTCTGTGTGCTCACACGGGAGGATGAGACCCTCATGGCGCTAGCTCCCTCTAATTCCAATGGGAAACAGACAGAGACGGGCAAAGCCAACCTCCTCCAGCCACGAGGTGCACCTGTGCCGGGAGGCTCTGGCTCCCACCCCACACCCAGGGCCCAGGTGCGAGGAGTCTGGGCCTGCGCCCCTCCCACCTCCTGCTCAGTGTAGAAGCAGACCCGGAGATAAACGTGGGGCACAGGCTGGGGCGGGGATGCCAGCCCCCGAGGCCCAGGCCAGTGTCCTGTGTGTGCCCACCAGGCACCACCAACACTCGCTGGCTGAGTCCACACTCCCGTGCAGGGGGCAGCCTCAGGACACAGCAGCGGGTCATGCCCCACACAGGCCCCCCAAAACCTCTCCTGTCTGTGCCCTGCTCCTTTGGGTCTAATGAACCCAAATACCAAGAACTGAATTATAAATGGGCACAAACACAACATGGCCGCCTGTGTTCTCACCAGGCGTTCTGTGGCCACCTCCCGGCCCTGTGTCGCGTCCTCAGAGAGTGGTTGGGGGAGACACCTCCCCGAGGTAAGTACAGGGCCTGGCCCTCCTGGGAGGACCACCTCATACACTTTCCCAAAGATGCGGCTGTGACCTCATCTCACTCAGGTGACGACACACCTCTGACGTCGCCAGCAGCGATTTCTACCACTGACACTCAGGTTAGCAAGCACGGGGGGGGGGGGGCACCGGGCAGCGCTGCAGGGTCACTTCCCACTGGGAGCCTGGGCTCCGGAAACGCCAGATGCAATCTGCTTGGCTGGTGACTACCTGTGCCGCCCGGCAAAGGGCTCCACCTGGGATCGGGGCTCTGACCCGCCGGGAAGGGAGGGCGCTGATGCTGGCAAATTAGGCACCTGGGCCGGGCCAGGTGCTGCGGGGCACGGGGTGCTGCCCCGAGTCCCCAGACGTCAACGTGCGCAAGGCCGTGACCAACGCCGCGAGACGGAGCTCACGGGGCAGAGGAGCAAGGCATCTCCCGAGGAGCGAAGCCCCTCTGCCGCGACACGCGCCGGTAGGCTTCATGCAGCGCCGCCAAGTCTGGATCCCCGTGCACAGCCGGCCCGTGCGAAGCGCGCGCTTCTCCTTAGGGAAGAGCTTCCGGGAAGCCCGAGCAGCTGACGCCGTCGGCGGCGTCTCGGGCTGCACCCTAACCTCAGACTGCGGGACCTTCCCCGGGTCAAACAGCAGCAGCGGCGGCCGCCTGCCGGCGTATTAGGCCGTGCACGGTCGGGGCCCTCGTTGCCGCGGCTTTCTGTTTTTTTTTTTTCTCCGCTCTTCGTGTCCACACAGGTGGTCACGGGACTCACGCGCACCTCCACTGCTGGCAACGCCCGGCCACTGCCCCGCAGCAGCTCCGGCGTCTCCTCTTTTGGCTCCAGGACGGCGGCTGTCCCGGAGCCTTCATCTCCCACACCACGCCGTGTAAGCGGCACACCGACCGCACCACACGTCACGGCCCGTCCCGGGAAAAGGCAAGGCTGCCTTCCCCCACCCTGCTCCAACTGTCGCACCGGCGACAGCCCCTGCGTCCCGCACACCTACCAGCCTCCGCCTCCATCGCACCGCCGCCTCCAGAAGAGCTCCCGCCTCCTAGCTGGAGCGAAGGGGCCACGGGCCACTGGGTAGCGCGAGGTCGTCGCCTGGCTCCTCTTTATAGGTCCAGTTTCGCTTCCCTTAACCAATCAGACTGCCCAAGCTGTGCCCGCGAGTTCCGGCGCCGGGTGACGTAGCGGAAATAGGCTCACTTCCTTGTCAACGACCCAACGCGATCAGCACCCAATGGGCGCGTAGGCCTTCTTTCTGCCGGATTCCGACGTGGCCAATGGAGACGTCGGATCGCTACTGACGTGTCTTGAAGCCTGTCGGCAGGACGCTTGCCCCGCTAGTTCCGCCCCCTCCCCAGGCCGAAGCCTGAGCAGGCGCCTGCCTCTGGTAGCTGGGCCAATGCGGAGCGGGCTGGGATTGTTTACGTCTCGTTGGGAGCGGAAAGTAGGTCACGGCGGGCGGGGAGAGCGGCGGCGGCGGCGGAGCAGCTCCAGGTGAGCGCAGCGGCGCGACCCAGTCCGTCTCGGCGCCGCGGACCTGGCGGGCGGGCGGGCGAGCCCAATCTTTGTTCCCCTAGCGGCCCCAGCTCCCAGCCCGCCCCGCGCTTTGTCCGCGGTGCCCGGGCGGGGATCCGCCCCGGAGGGCCGGTCGGCGGGCAGGCCGCCCTCCCTCGGAGCTCCTCGTCCGTCGTCAGGGCCCCGGAGGGCGCCTCGGCGCTCGGCGGACTGCCTCCAGATAGGGAGCCCACCTCCGCCGCGATTTTTGGGCGACTTCCGGAAACAGCGCCCCCAAACTGACATCACTACGAGCCCAGGAGCGCTGGGAAATACCAGCCCTGCCTTCGGCGACCCTCCCACGAAGGGATCAGGGAGTGTGTTGCCCAGACTTGGCTGCGGGTGGCAAGCTCCCGGGGTCATTCATTCAGCCTGGGTCACGTGCTCGCCGTGTGTTACAAACGTAGCGAGTAAGCCTCGGGGGCCGATCGTCACCGCTCCGGGGATGGCTGGAGCCTGGGCGGTGCAGGCCGGATGGAGTAGGCCCCTTACTAGGAAGCGGCGCCCTGCAAGCTAGGGACAGACCCTGCGCCGAGGCCGATCATTCGGCTGACAGGGTCCCAGCGGGCCTTCAGACCATCACGGAAGGCCACTGCCCCATGCTGGGTGTAAGTGATCGCTGAGGCCTGAGTAGGGCCGGGCGTGAGTAGAGCCAAGGGCAGGGAGGGATCACAGCTGGTGACTGAACCAGGCCATGGTGGCTGCAAACCTGAGAACTCAGTGGGCTGTGCAATGGTGCATTTTCACTCCAAAGACAAAGGCAGAGCCGAAGGGATGGTACGGTCTGTCATCCCAGAGCCAGTGGGGCTGTGTGTGAGGAGCGGAGGGGAGGGCCGGCCGATGGGTCCACGGTCCAGGGGCGGTGCTGGGTTGGGGTGGAGGTACAGGACGTGGAAACGGGGTGGCGTGGGCAGCGCCCGGAGATGCCTGGTGAGGGGAAGGAAGAGGTGTCAGGGATGACGGCCCGGGTTGTGGAACGAGGAACTGGGCGATTCAGTGCCCAGCTGGACCCTGGAGGAGGAACCAGTCAAGGCTGGAGATGCCCGAGGTACCGAGCGGGCGACAGATCCGGGGCAGGTGAGGCTGAGTGGGGAGATGGGCCGAGACGTGTGGTGGAGAGTCCTGGACGTGTGGACAGCTTTGCATACCATCTACCTGGGCTTTATTGAGGTGCTCAGGTACTGGAGTGAGGTATGGGCTTGTGCGCAGTTCAGAGTCCTGGCCGTGGCCTGTGTGTGGGCCTGTGGGCATAGCCCGCTGGAGCTTGTGCAGGTGTGTAGGGGCTGCTGGGAGGCAGTCTGGAATCCCGGGGGTCCTCCTTGCCCAGAGCCCGTGTGATTTCTTCCAGGTCTTTGCCATGGCGAGGCGGCCCCGGAGCAGCCGGGCGTGGCATTTTGTCCTGAGTGCGGCCCGTCGAGATGCTGATGCTCGGGCCGTGGCTCTGGCGGGCACCACTAACTGGGGCTATGACTCTGATGGGCAGGTAGGTCCCCATGGGGAGGGGGCATCACTGGATGGAGGTGGGGAGGAACCTGAGGCGGGGGGCTGGTGAGGCCCTGGGGCCACGGTCTGGGCTCACTCTACCTGCCAAGGCTCTTTCACCCAGTGAAGGGCTCCTGAGGTCAGGCCCCAGCACCCATGCCAGGCTCTCCACAGTCCTTTTCCTTCCTCTGAAGACCACACAGTGTGGAGCGAGGCTGTGGGGGCCTCTCCGGCCATTCTGTCCAACAAAAGCTTTCCAATTTCACCTGACTGGTTCCCGAAGGGGCTGGCGGTGCCTGGGTGCACGGCTTTCTGGGCCTGTTCCTGGGTTGCACCAGCACGTGCACTACACAGCGTTTGTGTGTGAAGAACCCGGACTCCTGTCGGTCCCCTGCCCCAGGAGCCCCTCACTGCGGGAACGGGGGCTCCGGGAGACATTTGTTTCTGGGGTCAGGGTGTCCGGCCTTGCCTGGGGCAGGATGCGCAGCAGGGTGAGTTGGGCTTCAGTGAAGCCAGGAGAGGGGTGGGGGTCCACAAGGCGTGGGGGTCTCAGTGGGTTGCCTGCAGGGCTGGCCTTGGGTGGCTGGTGTCTGGGCACAGCTGCCCTGGGCTGGGAGGGGCGGGCTCCTCTCCTCCGGCCAGTGCCCTGTCCGGGAGGCCATCTGTACCCCCCGCCCCCGCTCTGTGGGTCTTAGAGCCATCCTCGTCTCCTGAGGGCACAGCTGACTCAGCACTGTGGGATGCAGGATATGACTGCCACCCGCCCGGTGTGAGGCACACATGCTACCTGGCCGGTCACCTAAAGGGCCTCAGGTGCCTGGGGGTGTGTCCTCTGGGATGAATGGCATGTGCCCGCCCCCTTCCTGGCTCCTAGGGACACAGGCCTCACTCAGCCCAGGTTGGAGTGGCTCGGGGCTGCATGCTTTGCCATGGAGGGACCGTGTCCTGTTCTAAAACTGCCTCTCCACCCAGACCGGCCAGCCTGGCTCCCTGTGGCTTGGCTGTTCCTTCTCCTCTGTGGTTCTGTCTTTCCATCTGTCAGTCCGTGACTGGCTTGAGATGCAGCCGATGCCCGTGTCCACTCGGCTCAGCTGTCGGCTCTGTTGGTTTAGAGGCTGCGTGTGGCCTCGTGCTGGGCCTAAAGGGTGATGGGAAAGAGAGGGGCCAGGCTTCTCCTGGGCGGGGACAGATGACACAAGAGCCCCAGGGACACGAGAAGGAAGCTGGGAGCCGTGGGCCAGGGGCCTTGTGGGGCTGGGACAGGCACTGGGTGCAGGTAGCTGATGTGGCCTGGGGGCCCGTGGACAATTCCATGGGCTTGGCTCTCCTCTGAGGCAGCCTGATGGTGGCTATTGAATAGCTCATTTGGGTGCTGGGTACAGAGTATGGGGTGGTGGGCTGAGGATCCCAGCTCCTTGGGGCTGGGCCCTGAGACACCCACGCCTCACCGGCAGGCCGGGCTCTGGTCCAGAGAGACCTGTGTGGTGGGGGACTTGGCTCAGAGCCCTCCCACGGCTGCAGGCAGGCTGGCTGCTCGCTCCTCCAGGACAGCAGGGTGTTGACAATGTGGACACCAGGCTGACCAGCTGCTCGCAAGGGGCTGACCCCTGGGTACCCAACCCCGGAAGCAGCAGTGGGCCTCATGCGGGGGCTGTGCGGCAGGGTGGGCGCAGGCTCTGCTGCGATGGGGGCAGACACCGCCTGCCTTGTCTCCCAGCACAGCGATTCGGACTCTGACCCCGAGTTCTCGTCCTTGCCGCTGTCCATCCCCAGCGCCGTGCCTGTGACCGGGGAGTCCTTCTGTGACTGCGACAGCCAGAGTGATGCCTCCTTCTGCGGGGGCCGGCACAGCGCCCACCGTGGCAGGGACTGCCGCTGCGGGGAGGAGGATGAACGTGAGTGGGGCGGTGGCTGGGGGGCCAGCGGGGTGCCTGTGGCAGCAGCAGCCTGCCTCAGCTGGCCCCTTGTCCCGCAGACTTTGACTGGGTCTGGGACGACCTGAACAAGTCCTCGGCCACGCTCCTGAGCTGTGACAACCGGAAGGTGAGCTTCCACGTGGAGTACAGCTGCGGGACGGCTGCCATCCGGGGCACCAAGGAGCTGGGGGAGGGCCAGCACTTCTGGGAGATCAAGATGACCTCACCCGTCTACGGCACTGACATGGTGAGTGGTGGCCGCCAGTGGGAGGCTGTGGGGACGGGCCCTGGACCCGGCCCCACGCACCCGTCTGTCGGCCCCGTTCCCAGATGGTGGGCATCGGGACGTCGGACGTGGAGCTGGACAAGTACCAGCATACTTTCTGCAGCCTGCTGGGCAGGGACGAAGACAGCTGGGGCCTCTCGTACACGGGTGCGTGTGCTGGTGGGTGTGTGGGACGGTCTGGGTGGTGCCAGCTCCCGGGCTCACGCCTCGACCACCCCCAGGGCTCCTGCACCACAGCGGCGACAAGACAAGCTTCTCCTCGCGCTTCGGCCAGGGCTCCATCATTGGCGTCCACCTGGACACCTGGCACGGAAGGCTGACGTTCTTCAAGAACCGCAAGTGCATAGGTGTGGGTGAGGGCCGGGTTCCCACGCCCTGGAGGTGGGCCGGTGGGACCAGGGCTGAGCGGGCAGGCTCCCGCGGGCCGGCATGCATGCAGGTGCCTCCCTCGCAGGCGTGGCGGCCACCAGGCTACGGAACAAGAGGTTCTACCCGATGGTCTGCTCCACGGCGGCCAAGAGCAGCATGAAGGTGATCCGGTCCTGGGCCAGCACCACGTCCCTGCAGTACTTGTGCTGCTACCGGCTGCACCAGCTGCGGCCTGACTCCGGGGACACGCTTGAGGGGCTGCCGCTGCCGCCAGGCCTCAGGCAGCTGCTACACAGCAAGCTGGGCTGGGTGCTAAGCATGAGCTGTGGCAGCCGCGGGCCACCCACCAGCGAGGCCAGGCCCAGCCAGCGGAAACGCTGCCGGCGGACCTGACTCCGCCCATCTCTTCCTCCGCGCCACGCGCCCGGCTCCCGGGTGACAGGAGAAGGCGGAGCGGGACCCAGTCTGGGGGGTGGCCCGTCCACTCCGAGGCTGGGACGGTTGTTTCTGCACGGCTCCAGGGCCACTGGGCCCCATCGTCGACAGAGTCCACTCTGCTGGCGCGGGGTAGCGGGCGCTGCTTCCTGGCCTGCAGCTCCCAGGACGCCATGGGCCCGGGGCAGCACTGTCCGATGCATGCGGAAGAGGACGTCCTGGCAGGGCACGTGGTCGGCTGCCGTCCCCCCTTCCCCAGAGACTGATCACTGTAATAAATAGCGTTTCTACCCCCCCCACAGCTGTGAAGTCACGGGTGGCCAAGGCCCTGGGGGATCGTGTCGATGCCATTTGTCCTGCGGGGTCTGGTTCTGCCCGACACC